CACATCTCCCCTCAGTCTGTTAATGGTCTTTATCCATTCAACCAGACTCTATATCTATCTGGGGGACGAGTGTGACGAGAACTTCTTCTTGGTTCGTCTCAAGTCTCAGAGGTATTCGTTGAGTGATCCTCTTGTTGAGTATCAACATCAGGTAGATCAGTTTCCTCTTGGGCTGGTACTGAAGACGGGAGAATATTCAAATCTCTTCTATTTCGTCTGACGATTCCTGCAGAGGTCTCCACAGTGTAAGATCGAGTAGACTGATCCCTTTGAACAGTTCCCTGCCTCTGTTGATCTGGAATCCAGACCTGATCTCCTGTAGTGAGGGGTTGTTGTTCCCTTGCTCTGTGTCTTATATCATAATGTCTCATTTGAGAAGCTTTTAGATTACTATCCTTGAACCTTACTGACCTTTGATTAGGTATGTGTGGCTTCAGTTGTTTGTTTGTGGTTGGAAGTGTGGTCCTAAGGTTTCTTCCCATTAGTAGTTCTGCTGGACTAAATCCCAACTTCAGTGGAGTAGTCCTGTATGACAAAAGAGCTAAATAAGGGTCTTCTGATTTAAGTAGAAGCCTCTTTACTGTCTGGACTGCTCTTTCAGCTTCTCCATTCGCTTGAGGGTATTTAGGACTACTAGTAATCAGGGGTGGATCTGAACCTGGGCAAGCCCGGGTTTTTGCCCAGGCATCAACTTTATAAGATAATGAGATTCATAATTAGATAATGAAATTCATATGCATCATCTTAAATAAACTTGTGTGTGTGCTTATTATGGCTTCTTTAATCTTTAAAACCACATAACATGTGCACTGAAAAAAGGACAATGAGTAAGCAGCATTAGCAGCTGTCTCTTCTTAACTACAATTTTAAACTGCCCCAACCAACTATCTTCTCATCCACAAAGCAGTGGAACAGTACAGGTAGAAGTGGAGATAAGAACAGATTTGAAAACGGAGATAAGAACAGATCAACATTTTGTCTTAATTCATTATAATTATTATAAAAAGTTAATTACAAGTTATTAATAGTTAATAACCACTTATTGAAAGTTATAAATGCCCCACCCACTTATGCTATGTACAAAGTTTGAGCTGATTCTGAATTAAATTTTTCAAGTTATGACCATTTAAAAAAATATGCCAATTTCTGAAAAAATCCCTGTGCATGTACATGTACAGGGATTTTTACATTAATTTTTTGGCATTTTGCAATCAAAATTTTCAATAGTGAAATGTTTAGTAATACATGCGTGGACAAATTTGCCAATTAAAAGCTGGCCTAATGTATTTTTCAAGTAAAACCATCAAAATAAAGTACCACTAAATCACACCACAGTCAC